TCTCCCATTCTCACTTTAACCATGTTTCTTTAAGTGAGGGTGGGTCACCCTTTTCCTCTGGTGTCCTGTTCCTAAAACTCGCTAGCTTTTGCCAGCATTGTAATATTCGTGCTCTGGTTGATAGCGATAACTAAGGCTACGTTTTAGTCACAGCCTATGACCTGTCCATGACTTTTACTAAAAATACCCATGACTAAAACTTGGGAAGGGGGCCACTGGTGCTCTGAAGGGGCCATTCCGGGGACACCGCAGGTGCTGGGGGAGGTGGCCCGGGACCTCACCTGTGCTGGAGGAGGTGGCCGGGCTGCAGCTCATCGCCTGGGACCCCCGTGGGGTGGAGGGGCTGGGCAGTGGCGTGCGGCTCTGGACCACCGCTGGGGGTGGGGGGAATGATTGGCAGGGCTGGCAGGAGCTCCCTACCCAGCTCCGCATCCCTGGCCCTGCAGCTCCTAGGGGTCCAAGGGGCCGGGGGCTCCACGCTGCTCCCGCCACAAGCGCCGTCTGTACAGCTCCCATTGGCTGGGAACCGCAGCCAATGGGAGCTGTGGGGGCGGGGCCTGCAGGCGGAGGCAGCGCGTGGAGCCCCCTTCCCCCATCGGACGCCGAGGAGCTGCAGGGCCATGCCAGGGGGAGTGCCAAGGAGCCCCCCACCCTGAAGTAAGCGTCCCCTGCTCCTTCTGCCCCAAGCCATGAGCCCCCTCCCACACACCCAAACTGCTGCTGCTAGCCAGGAGCTGCCTGGCTTGGGCAGCCCCTGAGCCAGCACCAGCCATTGCAGAAGTCACGGATGTCACGGAATCCGTGACCTCTGTCACAGATTCGCAGCCTTAGCAATAACATAGCCTTCCTCCAACACTGCTATATGTGAAAGAAAGCATAGGATCAAACAAAGTAAAAATTTCAATGAACTAACCTGTAGCATAGAATCTCTATGGATAGTAATTCCATGCTCTAATAATAATATAGCAATAGGGATACATTACCAATCACCTGACCAGGATGGTGATAGTGACTGTGGGAGATTAGAGAGGCTATAAAAATGAAAAACTCAATAATAATATGGGATTTCAACTATCCCCATATTGACTGGGTACATGTCACCTCAGGACAGGATGCAGAGATAAAGTTTCTTGACACCTTAAATGACTGCTTCTTGGAGCAGCTAGTTCTGGAACCCACAAGAGTAGAGGCAATTCTTGATTTAGTCCTAAGTGGAGCACAGGATCTGGTCCAAGAGGTGAATATAGCTGGATCGCTTGGTAATAGTGACCATAATATAATTAAATTTAACATCCCTGTGGTGGGGAAAACACCACAGCAGCCCAACAAGGTAGCATTTAATTTCAGAAAGGGGGACTGCACAAAAATGAGGAGGTTAGTGAAACAGAAATTAAAAGGTACAGCACCAAAAGTGAAATCCCTGCAAGCTGCAGGGAAACTTTTTAAAGACACCATAATAGAGGCTCAACTTAAATAAGCATAGAGAACCAAAAAAGTGCCACTGTGGCTAAACAACAGAGTAAAAGAAGCAGTGAGAGACAAAAAAAATCCTTTAAAAAGTGGAAGTTAAATCCTAGTGAGGAAAATAGAAAAGAGCATAAACTCTGGCAAGTGAAGTGTAAAAATATAATTAGGAAGGACAACAAACATTTGAAGAACTGATAGCCAAAGACTCTAAAAGTAATAGCAAAAAAAATTTTAAGTACATCAGAAGCAGGAAGCCGGCTAAACAACCCCAGTGGGGCCACTGGACGATTGAGATGCTTAAGGAGCACTCAAGGACGTTAAGGCCATTGCAGAAAAATTAAATGAATTATTTGCTTCGGTCTTCATGGCTGAGGATGTGAGGGAGATTCCCAAACCTGAGCCATTCTTTTTAGGTGACAAATCTGAGGAACTGTTCCAGATTGAGGTTTGGAACAAATTGACAAAACGAAACAGTAATAAGTCACCAGGACCAGGTAGTATTCACCCAAGAGTTCTGAAGGAACTCAAATATGAAATTGCAGAACTACTAACTGTGGGATGTAACCTAATGCTTAAATCATCGTCTGTACTAGTTGACTGGAGAATACCTAATATTATGCCATTTTTTAAAAAGGCTCCAAGGGCGATCCTGGCAATTACAGGCCAGTAAGCCTAACTTCAGTACCAGGTAAATTAGGTGAAACTATAGTAAAGAACAAAATTATCAGACACATAGATGAACATAATTTGTTGTGGAAAAGTCAACATGGTTTTTGTAAAGGGAAATCATGCCTCACCAGTCTACTAGAATTCTTTGAGGGGGTCATCAAGCATGTGGACAAGGGGGATCCCGTAGATGTAGTGTACTTAGATTTTCAGAAAGCCTTTGACAAGGTCCCTCACCAAAGGCTTAAGCAAAGTAAGCTGTCATGAGATAAGATGGAAGATCCTCTTATGAATTGGTAACTGGTTAAAAGATAGAAAACAAAGGGTAGGAATAAATGGTCAGTTTTCAAAATGGAGAGAGGTAAATAGTGGTGTCCCCCAGGGGTCTGTACTGGGCCCAGTGCTATTCAACATATTCAAAAAAGATCTGGAAAAAGGGGTAAACAGTGAGGTAGTAAAATTTGCAGATGATAAACAACTACTCAAGATAGTTAAGTCCCAAGCAGACTGGGAAGAGCTACAAAGGAATCTCACAAAACTGGGTGACTGGGCAACAAAATGGCAGATGAAATTCAATGTTGATAAATGCAAAGTAATGCACAATGGAAAACATAATCCCAACTATACATATAAAATGATGGGGTCTAAATTAGCTGTTACCACTCAAGAAAGAGATATTGGAGTCATTGTGGATACTTCTCTGAAAACATCCACTCAATGTGCAGCGGCAGTCAAACAAGTGAACAGAAAGTTGGGAATCATTAAGAAAGGGATAGATAATAAGACAGAAAATATCATATTGCCTCTATATAAATCCATGGTACGCCCACATCTTGAATACTGCGTGCAGATGTGGTCACCTCATCTCAAAACAGAAATACTGGAATTGGAAAAGGTTCAGAAAAGGGCAACAAAAATGATAATGGGTATGGAACGGCTGCCAGATGAGGAGAGGTTAATAAGACTGTGACTTTTCAGCTTGGAAAAGAGAAGATTAAGGGGGATATATGATAGAGGTCTATAAAATCATGACTGGTATGGAGAAAGTAAATAAGGAAGTGTTATTTACTCCTTCTCATAACACAAGAACTAGAGGTCACCAAATGAAATCAATAGGCAGCAGATTTAAAACAAACAAAAGGAAGTATTTTTTCACACAACGTACAGTCAACCTGTGGAACTCCTTGCCAGAGGATGTTGTGAAGGCCAAGACTGTAACAGGGTTCAAAAATGAACTAGATAAGTTCATGGAGGATAGGTCCATCAATGGCTATTGGTCAGGGATGGTGTCCCTAGCCTCTGTTTGCCGGAAGCTGGGAATGGGCAACAGGGAATGGATCACTTGATGATTACCTGTTCTGTTCATTCCCTCTGGGGCACCTGGCATTGGCCACTGTTGGAAGACAGGCTAGATGGATCTTTGGTCTGACCCTGTATCGCCGTTCTTATGGTCTTATGCCATTAGTTGCCTATACAGTTCTTGTAATATCCCTAATTTCCCCCTGTTCTAGGAGTGGGACACTCCTCATGTTGCTTCTGAACTTCAGTTCTAGGAGTCAGACCTAAGGTTATAGTATTTTGATGAAAACCTTAAGCATTTTTCCATGGTCGACAGTGCTGTTAGTAGCTTCCTGGGTTGATTGGTTCTACAGCATAGAACAGTTTGCGTGAAGTAATTGAAGGTTTTCAGATTTTAATGTTATAATCCTTTTCCTGGAGTATATTGATGTAAGGAACTAATAAAGGTGCATCCTTGTGTGGATGACTATAAACTTGTTTGTAGTAGTGAGTTAACATTTGCTTTCTCGTGCTGGAGTAAGGATTACATAAGAACACAAGAACATAAGGGTAGCCATATGGATCAGGCCAATGGTCCATCTAGCCCAGTATCCTGTCTCTGACAGCAGCCAGTATTAGAGCTTTAGGGAGAGTGTTCAGAATAGGGCAGTTTTGCAGTGATCCATCCCTGGCTTCTGGCAGTCAAAGGGTTAAGGTTGACCCTACCATGGGATCGCATCCCTGACCATCTTGGCTAATAGTCATTGACAGACCTATCCTCCCTTAACTTTTTTTTAAATATATTGTATCTATTTTGCAACTTATGTATAAAGCAGGCAACCAATCGGATATCGAAGATTAATGCTTAGCATTAAAAAGGCTTGTACTGATGTGCTTGTCACTTTGAGCTGTTGCATAGTCTAGTTCACCCAGCTCACCTGCTCCGTGCACGTAGAGAGACAGAGAATATATAAAGATGCATATTTGACATTTTATTGTTGCTTTCTTGAGACTTATAGCAGTGAAATTATATCTCAGGAAAAATTCATGGCAAAGGAGTTTATACATAGACTATTCTGATGTCTATCTGTTCAATAGACTTCACAAAATTTTCCCCATAAATAAAGGAATGCCTGCTATCATGGAGACTTCAGAGAATTACTTGATTTTTCTTTTTCTGCCTGTCTCTTGCACAGTCTTCAGTAGACACAGAACCAAGCCACACATTTCAGGTGTTGATTTTGAACATCCCTGAGTTTGGGGGAGTTCGGATCAGGGAGTTTGGTTCATGCCCATCTTTAGGTTTTTAAAGTAATTGTATTCTGGCTTCTGTTAAATAACTTCCTAGTTTGTGCTCCTTAACTGTGGCAATCTCTAAGAATTGCTTATCTTGTAGTAAAGATGTTTGATAGCACTAAGTATGTTCCAGATTGTTTCTTGCAATTTTTTGTTACATGTATTTAGTCTCCATGCACTTGTGTCTTGTATAAATTTAAATTGAGAAATGTGAACTGTCTTGGGTACTTTTGTAGTGTACAGCACAGTGACATGGGATATGCTTTCTAGGTATCTTCTTTGTCAGAGAGTGAGGATTCTCAGGATTCATCAGATAGCATAGGCTCTTCGCAGAAGACCCGAGGTATCTTAGCACGGCGACCGTCTTACCGGTGAGTATATTTGTGACATTCCCCAGGGTACAATCTGGACTTCCAAACAGCTGTGCCCCCTTAACTCTCTAACCTGGGATGCCTCTTACACTGCTTTGCTGGTGCACAACTACTTCAGGTTCTGCCCACACGCAGCCTCCTGCATGTAACTTGCTCCCAGCTACACAGTATTAAGTGCTATTACTAGCCACTCATAAATTACTTACAGGGAGACACCTGCATATCCCTAGTCCCAGCCTTGTTCCTCAGAAATGTGTGTCTTACGCTGCTCAGTATTCTCCTGGACAGTGTAAACTCATAGTACGTCTGTCATTCCAACACTGGGTAATGATTATGCACCAGCCTTGTTATCCTAAGTAGAGATTCCCAAACACTTCAATCCAAACACACTTGTTTAGATAAAACAATAAAACAAGTTTATTAAATAGAGAAAGATACATTTTAAGAGATTTCAAGTGATAAGTCATAAAAGTCAGAATTGGTTACAAAAGAAATAAAGATAAAACTGTAAGCTAATACCTAAATGAAGAGAGGGGTGATGTGGCGGTCATTGTCTCTTATTTTTATACCCTCCTCCTCTCTTTGAAGATTACCTCCCTGCCGGGGTGTAGGCAGACAGTCCCCTGCATATGTGAGATTCGAACCATCTCTGGGATGAAATGTAAATGTCTTGTTTATAACTTCTCCCCCGCTGGTCGATGCCCAATTAAGCCGATAATGGCCCTTAAGCACGTTGCTGCCATGCTAGTGTGTCTTTGTCTCAGATAAATTGGTTTGTGGGTATTACCTAGAACTACAACATATTTCAGTAACAATCATTTAGCAAAATCTCAAAATTGTACATGCAGTGATGTTACACACATTTCAACGGGATAATAATATTCAGCAGATTATGAGTTTTCAAATGATACCTCACAAGGCATACTTTGTTCAAAATATATCATAACCATATAAAAGTGGTGAACATGGGGTACAGGGTGTCTCAACCTTACAAACATTTATACTGTATTTTTTATTAGAAGCTTTTAAAAACACTAACAAAAATCACAGCTTCCATCAGTTATCTCCATATATTTCATCAGCCTTCTGAATTATTTTTTTATTCCCCTAAAATATGTATTGTATCTGCTTATACAAAAGTTATTTCTGCTTTTGGTGATACACAATAAACTGAAGCAACTATTTAGATTTTATTTTTCCATAATGAAGAATTTTAAATGAAAGCTGATAGCAAAACCAATGTTTTCTAACAGACTGGGCTAAATTCACTGCTGATGTAAGAGAATGATTATTATATAACATCTCTACATGTTTGCTGTTGAAGCACAGATGTTTAGTGAGTTTAATTCTGTTGTGCGGAATCAGCTAAAAACCTGATTTTTTGAAGCCAGTGTTCAACCAAAGCTCTCATTGACTATAAAGGGAGTTTTGCTTAAATAAGGACTGCAGGATCAGACTCCAGGATGATATTGTGTAGTGAAAAGTTGTTTTATCACTTTAACCATACAAGTTATTGCTATTTTATTGAAAAGAGGAACTGAGTAAAACACTGTTATGTTTTCAGATGACATACAGGATAAATTCCAGTTATTTGAATTCCAGTTATCCAAAAAGTCTAGTTATCCAATTCCACAGTATAGCCCTATTTTAGTTAATAGCACTTCCTTTTATCTGAATGCTTGTTATTTCCAAGGTTCTGATGTTCCCTACGCCATCTGGCTAAATGGGAGTGTTCTGTACTTTTCAAAGTGATAAACCAAGAAATAAAAGCATAATGCATCTTAAACTTTTATAGTTTTTTCTTGGATATTCTGAAAAAATTACAAATTAAAGCTTGCGAAGTTACCCCAAGGTCCCAAGGAGTGGCAGTTATTCCTACCTTCACCGGTGCTTCTCATTTTTATTTTTTTACCCCCACTCTCTCTTCTATTTTCCTCTTAAATTAAATACCAAAATAAACTGTTTACATTAAACTATTTTTTTTTCAGTTCCGCACACAAAAAAGTCAGAGTGAAAAAAGAATGGTCAACAATTCTCACTCAAAGAACACTTTATGGGAAAATACTAGTTGTGCACATAATTTAGGTGGAAGCGATACATAGCAGTGAGAGCATGGGATTGGAAGTCAAGAATTCTGCTTTCCTGTTGGACGGCCGCTAACTCGTTATGTGACCTTGGACAAGATGTATAAACTCTCTGTGCCTCCATTTCTTCTTCTGTTAAATGGGGAGCTATTATTCTCGTAGGGTATTGTGAGCTATATAGTGCACTAGGCGTTTGAAGAGCTGTACAAGAGTTAAGTATTTTTATTAAAGAGTTTTGAGATCCTTGGATGAAATGCACTATATAAGTGAAAAGTATTATTTTGTATCACAGAGCAAAAAAACTTAACTAATGAATTAAAAAAAAATTCCTAAAGCATCCCACTTGTTTCCACTTTATTCGAACAATAACAAAAATTGACAAATTGATTTTGATTAGAGTTAGAGAGAGAGACATAAATCCACAGTTATTGTGTGAATCAGAGCATGAGGTTTTAAACTAGGGAGAACACTAACAGGCAAGTTATAAACCCCTGGAAAATATTTATGATGGAAACTCTGATGCACCCGTTACTGAAGTGATGCAGCTGTACTGCTAGAAACAATACAGAAAATCTGACATATGCACAAGTGCGTTTTATTTTGTCAAGGCTGATTGGAAAGAAAAAAATTGCTTGAACTACTTTAAAACATCTATGTATGGGTTTCCAGCACAATGTTTTACTACAGGTTATTACAATGTATTGTAAGTTATGAAAATTGTCACTACAGAGGGCTTATTTCTAAAATATTTAAGGTTTTTAGAAGACAGTGATTGAAAATCTTACATTGCACTTGCATATACAAGTGGTTTAATACTGAATTACTCTTTGACTGTAAGTAAAGTGGTTCAGATTTTTGAATGAGGAACAAGAAATAAGAAACTCTTGACTACAGAAATACGATTACTTGAAGAAGTTTAGAGAGAAGAATTCCTATATGCAATTTTTATTTCAAACTTTGCCTGCTTATTTACAGTATTTATTACAAAAGCATGATAGTACTATTGATAATATATTTTATATTTTGTTGACTATATCTGCTAAGAATTATTGAGAACATATGTTTAGTAGATATTGGCTTCTCTTAAAGTAAGCATCAGGATTTCTTGATCCCAGAATTATATTGTCTGAAGCGAAGCCAATAATTACCCTGAACCACAACAAATTTTGATATTTATTTAAATATTAAGTCAATATGTGTTTGGTTAAATATGGTCACCAAAATGCCTAGAAATCTCTTAATTAAGGGCATGAATTTTTTAAAAAGTTAGACAAGCAGAAAAGTAGCTATTAATGTTTGATGATTCAGTCAGGAAGCAGAGATGAGTACATGCTTTCTGATTGGCTCTTCCAGGGTAAACAATATTAGTTTTGACGAACACAGCTGCAGCCAGTAAAGATGTATATATTTGGGTCACACTTAATATTAAGGTTCCATTTATAAAGGGCTAATAAATTATTTATAGATATTATAAGCTTGTTACATACATGAGTGTTGTGTGTTCTAGATCGTTATAAGCAACCTGTTGATCTGTCAGACTCTATAGCAATCTATAACAATTGATTAGCCATTAAAAAAATCTTAATTTATTAATCCTTTATAAGATATTATAAATGGAATCCAATGTGACCGCTATTTGCATATGCAGTCCAATTGGTTAACATTGCTCCAGACTTCCGTATTGTTTACCTCTGAGGAGGTCATGTTATGTAAATATATAAGCAAATTACCTCTGAGGTGGTAACAATACAAATTTACTGACTTGTCACATGACTTTTTTTCAGCCAACCACAAGCTAGGATTTGTCTTTTGTATGTAACAATGTGTGTAATGCTATTAAAGATTATCAGCTATGTATGTTAGCAGCATGTTTCTATAACTATGTTGGTTTTAGGTGCTTTATCTCTGTTATATTTGTAGTTTGATCAATTTAAAAATTGTCACCGGTGGAGAAATATTTGCCAGCAAAACTTGCCTGCAACATTGTTAAAATTTGTACTCAGAGTAATTGCCTACCAGTTTGCCATCTTTTGCTTTCACAAGCGCTAATGAAGAAAAAATTTTTCCATAGAAAAATCTTGAAAGATCTTTCGTCCGAAGACGCACGAGATAGAAAAGGAGATGATGAAAGTCCTGGTGTCTCTACTGTCACCTCTATGTCTGTTCCCACACCTATCTACCAGACCAGCACTGGACAGTACAGTATGTTATATTAAATATACATCCAACTAGACATACTTCTGTTACGCGAAACTATATGGGGGAAAGTTTATATTGTATCTCATATATTTGACACTAAGATGAGTTTGTGGAAGGATTGGCAATACAAATGATAGCTATTCCAATTATCATTATTTGTTGGAATTAAAGGAGTGGCTAGATGCCCATGGTGAGATCAAGGCTCCATTGTGCTAGATGTTGTACATCCACATAGTAGGAGACAGACCATCCTTGTCCCAAAGAGCTTACCATATAAGTAGAATCAAAAAGTGGGAGTAAGGTAGCATTATTATCCCCATTTTACGGATGGAGAAGTGAGGCAGAGAGAGCTGAAGCGACTTGCCCTATGTTACATAGGAAGCTGATGAAAGAGCCAGGAATTTCACCCAGATTTCTTGACTCTCAGTTCAGTGCGTTAATTACAAGACCAATTTCCTCTTTGATTAATTTCTTCCTTTCTAATATAACTTATTACACTTTTTTAGTAATTGTTTGCTGTAGTGCTTTTCCTATAAAATCTGGAACTTGCATCCCTTTCAACTTGGTTCTCCCCTATGGTGCTTAGGTGTTTTCCTTATGCCCTCATCCTTGCAAATGACACATGAGAAGTCAAAGTGGGTTGCTGCTCCAGACACCCCTTCCTTCTTCTTGAAGGTATTCTCTCTGCCATGATATGCATGAAATTCCCCAAAACAACAGTCCAAGACTACAACTGATCTAATTAAAACAAGATTAAGAATAGCAAAAGAAAATAATATTTAAACAAAAGAAACAGTATACATAACATAGCTGTCTTGAAACTGCAAAAAGATTAGCTAGGCTTACCTTAACTTTAGCTATTAGCTGTAGTAAGAGAAAATACCTCCTACTTCTAGAAAGACATTCTTCCTCACTGACCTTCTTGGTCAGATTGCATCCAGGGGACACACCCTCCCCTCTCTGTGTCCCAGGATCTCCCCTTCTTGAAAGGCCTTGGTCATTTTTACCCTGTGATTACTTTAATCTCAAATGTGAGAGATTATAGTATCAGGGTGGGAAGTTACATCAGCATTTCAACAAAGTATTATTTGATCAGCTCAGGGAAATAAATTAGTTCTCCGTACGATTGCTGTCCTCTGTTCCTGCTGTCATTCCCTCTTCTAGTTCTGGAAGGATCCTCTAACTTCCTTGCTCTAAATCTAACATTTCAAAGGCCATGTTGATCTTGTCTGCCCTTTAGCCAGCCTAACAAGTCAAAATGATTGAACATGCTTTGCATGGCAGCTACTCCCGGCTAGAGATGTTAGAATGTGTCTGTATTCTTTTGTTGATTGGCCTTTTAACGTAACAATTCCCCATGTCCATGCACCTACTCTGTATGAAGTGTAAACTGTTGGCAGAGACCAAATGATCTGTCACATTACCCCAAACTATGAACATATTTACTTGCCAACTAAATCCAGGATTACTAAAAGTAAGCCTGCTATTTTAAATTGAGTCTGATTCAAAACTTTTGCAACTTAAAAATGAACTAAAATTCTGTAGTTAAAAAAAATCCAAAATATATATTTCTTTCCTTTTTTTTTTTTTTTATATTGCATGCAATAGTGCCAGTGCAGTCTATGACTGGCATGGCTATTTTGGATCTTCAGTTCATTTTCAAAGTATATGCTTCGCTTAAAAAATATATTTTGCTCCAGGATAACAGGAGTCTAGGGGCAACTTATCTATTAAGTGATTAAAACAATAAAATGTCATATAAATCATAAATAAAGACATTTCTTTATAGTCTGAGATAATTTCTTTAATCAAATAAAGCTTGAATTTCTCCTTAAATGACATTGTAGAATTATAAACTTGTTTATCCTGGAGAAAATTAATACACTTAATTCTTGGAAAACATCTATTGGAAAATCTCAAGTAGTTTAGAACGTAAACAATTTGGGTGAGCTAGTAAACTACAGGGGATTTAATATTTCATCTTGTTTTGATATCAGTGTTAAAAATAGGAGAAGCAAAGAAAAATTGTAAAAGCTTGTATGCGAGATTTTCAAAAGTGCAGAAGAGTTCAGCTCCCATGTAAACATTTAAATAAAGTGGCCTGATTTTCAAATGTGATCAGCACCCAGCAGCTCCCATTAAGAAAAAGACACTTTCTCCTCCCATTAAAAATAACAGGAGTTGCTGGTTGATGTTTTTTTGTTTTTAATCAGGCCCCTGTGTTTTTTTAGGGGATAAATGAAAATACAGGCAAATATGGAAATTTTCTGCATTTATTTTTAATTACAAAAATGTCCACGTATAATAGTTACAACACATGTTGCTTCTACCACCAACCTCTCCCCTAACCGCTGTGTCACTCACCACTGATGTCACAATCTCACCACTTGACAATGTCACAATCTAGTCAGTCAACAGTGAGCTGTTCGGGCAGTAGCAGAGGGTGGGGAGGAGTGAAGGGAGCACTATTTCTACCACATAGTGATTTTTTCATGGGTGCAAGCCAAGTCTATGTAAATGTATAAATATATACGCAAATCTCAGCCTTTTGGCTTATAGTGCCAGTGCAGATTATAACTGGTATGGCTAGTTTAGTCTATATCAGGGGTCGGCAACGTTCGGCACGCGGCTCGCCAGGGTAAGCACCCTGGCGGGCCGGGCCAGTTTTATTTACCTGCTGACGCGGCAGGTTCGGCCGATCGCGGCCCTCACTGGCCGCGGTTTGCCGTCCCGGGCCAATGGGGGCGGTGAGAAGCTGCGGCCAGCACATCGCTCGCCCGCGCCGCTTCTCGCCGCCCCCGTTGGCCTGGGACGGCGAACCGCGGCCAGTGGGGGCCGCGATCGGCCGAACCTGCCGCGTCAGCAGGTAAATAAAACTGGCCCGGCCTGCCAGGGTGCTCACCCTGGCGAGCCGCGTGCCGAACGTTGCCAACCCCTGGTCTATATGTTCTATATTGCAGGGAAACCAAAAGTGTCAAATTTGGTCCAAAATTTAAAGTGTGCATAAGCTAGGTTTTATAAAACCTGAGGCTAGTAGACATTTCTATGGCGTTATGGGGGAGGAAGTGTAAAGCAATTTTTGAAACATTAAGTATTCCCTGTATGTTTGCAACTCAAACACTGCAGCTTTGTATTTTTGTATGAGCCTGAAAGTGACCAGAAGCGGATGAGTCTCTTTTCAATCTTCAAGCTATGTGAAATACAAAACAGTAAACAAACCGCACGAATCCTGGAAAATAAATTAGGTTGTTTAAATTTATTCAGTTTAATAGCCAACTGGATGTTAGTATCATATGTAAGGACATTTTCTTGTAAATATATGGTTTTAACCCAACAGTGTCTCTGACTGCCCCATGACTGTCAAATCAGTCTTTAAAGATGGAACCAAATTGTGGGGCTAATTTTTAAAGTACCAACTTCAGATAGGTGATTGCCTATTGGAAGTGGATGTACTTAGTACACAGAAGGAAAACATTTTCTGTATATCTACCATATTTTTTTTCTCTCTCTTTTATTGAAGTTACTATTGCCCCAAACGGAGCACTGCAGCTGGCCAGTTCAGGTACAGATGGTGTGCAGGGTCTGCAGACATTAACAATGACAAATGCTGGTGGCACTCAGCCTGGGACAACAATACTGCAGTATGCACAAACATCTGATGGGCAGCAGATACTTGTGCCCAGCAACCAGGTGGTAGTGCAGAGTGAGTATGCATTACAAAAAACTTTAGGAATATTGTCTCCCATAAAAGTGTAGCTTTCTAAGATTTTTTCCTTTTAATTTAACTTACTCTGCTGTCTTAACAGCTGCATCAGGAGATATGCAGACATATCAGATCCGCACGACACCAACAACCACTTCCCTCCCACAGACTGTAGTGATGACATCTCCTGTCACCCTTACGTCTCAGACAACCAAGACAGATGATCCACAGTTGAAACGAGAAATAAGGCTCATGAAGAACAGGTATGTAAGTTTCCATGTACTGCTATATAACCAGCTTCATAGCTGCAATCAGATTCTTAAACAGCATGATAAAATATAACTTCAGATGTCAAATACTTAAAGGTATACAGGTTTCAGAGTAGCAGCCATGTTAGTTTGTATCTGCAAAAAGAACAGGAGTACTTGTGGCACCTTAGAGACTAACAAATTTATTTAAGCACAAGATTTCGTGGGCTAAAACCCACTTCATCGGATGCATGCACGAAAGCTTGTGCTCAAATAAATGTGTTAGTCTCTAAGGTGCCACAAGTACTCCTGTTCTTTTTTTAAACGTATACAGTCACCTTTAAAATCACAATTCTGTCTGAAAATTATTTTTACCAGCTATAGCTGAGTAACATTTAAGACTACTATACTATGAAAGACTAGAAGCTTCCTCTCTTTTCACTTAATTTTGTGTAATTAACAATGCAGTGTTGTTATAGCCATGTCAGTCCCAGGATATTAGGGAGACAAGTAACTATGAGTTAGTTCCCAGACCTGAAAAAGAGCTCTGTGTAGCTTGAAAGATTGTCTCAATCACCAACAGAAGATGGTCCAATAAAAGATTAATCCACCTTGTCTCTCTAATGTTTTTCTTGGTTTCAAGTTGACAGTATTCCTTGATATTTAGCGAAAACTAGAATTGTGTATCCAAAATTCTGAATCCCACATAAGTTTAGTAATTGTGTCACCTATGTATTATTTATCCTACACCCAGTGTCACTAGAAAATGTCAGAAAGCTAGACCCAAACATACTAAAGATTTTGTCCCAGAAAAATTGGGGAAAAATGTGAACTTTTTTTCCTGTAAGCTAACCAGTTTTTGTTTAACCAAATATTTCACACGTTCCTTGAACTGCCCTGTAGTTTAATTTGCTTTGCTAATGCCTGTAAGTAAATAAAACCTCTTTTTTATGAGTATCCTGACCTTAATCTTTTTAAATATTCAATTCAGACTACTCTTGTGTCTATATAGATGATGTCTCATTTTAATTTTCTTTCTGCATATATATTGACATATGTTTTCTTTCAGTCTATTTGCTCTAGAGTGAAACTTCCATTGCCATCTGTGTGCATTATTTAGGGTAGTATATGTCATTTAATTCTTGAGAAACATGAGACCCAGAACTTTCTGGAAACCAATGATTTTTGCCCAGGGCTGTATTTTTGGTTTCTCATAGAACCAACTGTGTAAAGTTTCTGATGCTCTTAGTGAAAAGGCCATTAACTTTAGAAAAACAAAATGTTTAGGTTTTTTTGCTTTGTTTTGATCATTTTCTTTGATCAGTCAATGCTTTCATGTGAGGTGAACAGAAAAATTAGTTTTCTGTAAATATCTTCTTCTCCCCACGTGTGAATGGTAGCTTCAGATGGAGTCAGTATTCAAAGCAAAACATGAGTGACTGAACACCTAATGATATACAGTAATTGACACTTCTGCCTTTTGATTTCAGGGAAGCTGCTCGAGAATGCCGTAGAAAGAAGAAAGAATATGTTAAATGTCTGGAAAATCGAGTTGCGGTCCTGGAAAATCAAAACAAAACTCTAATTGAAGAGCTAAAAACTTTGAAAGATCTTTACTGCCATAAAAATGTGTAAGAAAAGGAGACACAACTTTTTGTGGACTGTCTAAATTTCCATGGGGAATTTTTTTATACCGAATTTTTTAAAATTAAATGAAAGGTCAAAAATGAAACTTTTCTACCTAGATTTCACAACTTAAAGACTATAAAGATTTTATTTACAACATGTTAGTGACAAACTACAAAAAGGAAACAAGAAAACCTCAACAAAACTGCTGGCAGAACTGGAAACATCATTCAAATCAAGGTTACATCGGCAATAAAAGGACATGCACATTTTATCAGACAAGTGATTTGAATTTCCTGAACTACAAATTAATTTGGTAACAGCAGTAATATTTTATTACAGTTAAAATGTGGATGAGATGGAATCCTTGCCATTAGTTGAAAATTATTAGCAACATATATAACCAGTATAGGTTTTAATTTCTTTTGTTTTATGATCCTTATCTTTTCTTTTGGTTATTTGTATGTAAATATTTTTATTTCAACCTGTAAATTCTAACTTACAGGTGTAGAAGATAAAGAGAAGCTAATACTTTGCTAAAAGTATAAATTATGTTTACTTTTCTCAGCTGGCAATCTGTTTAAAGGTGGGGTGGTTTTTTGTTTTGGTTTGGGTTTTTTTGCAAAATGTTTGCTGTGTTCATCAAAGTTGGAGAGGTTTTGCAAGAAGGCAATGGGAAAATTATTTTTCAGGCCTAATGCTGAAAGATGTCGAAGGCACATGAATAAGATGTTGACTTCTTAAGAGTATTCAACACATTCAGTTACTTTAAACCAACAGTTTGGTAGAATGGGTATAGCTGAACAAAAGTTGTCAGAGAATGCTTTTTAAATAGTTTTGTTCGTGGTTACTGGGTGTGATAAACTATAATTGAAAAATAAATTGTGTGCTGATTATATATACATGCATTGCTTATTCTGTTTGGAGATCATACTATGCTTAATTAAAAAGTTTACAGACCAAAAAAAGACACAGTAAAATAAAAAGCTAAAGATACATACCAAAGGGTTTAATACAGTTCTAATAGAGGGTTTATAAATTAAAAAAATAAAAGTGCACAATTACCAGACTAATTTTGTAAGGTAGGCAATATTTTGTGAAGTAATGGCATCTTTGTAAGAAAATACTCTATTGAAAATAGTTAATGGCTGGTATATTTTTATAAGTAAACTATTACCTTTACAAATTCTAAAATGGAGTTTATATGCATATTTTAACAGTTTATACAGTTCCTTTTAGTAAACAAATAGATATTTTGTGTCTCAGATTATTGATTATATATATTTTTATGGGTTAGCACAAAGTAAAATTAGATTCTCTTTGGAGTAGAAAATATTTGAATTACTTTTGTCTTTGTAAGCAACTGACCTTAAAAAATAAATCGTAAGGAATATTGTTGGGAAAAAGAAACAGATTAGCATTTTTTTTTCCATATTCAGTAAAAACTGCACATGTGCTTGAATTTACTGCAAAAATACTATCAGGGATCCTAGTATGTATCATTTTGACTTGTTTCTTTCAAGTAAAAGATAAAGGATGTTTGACATGATCAGGACTCTTGAATATAAATAAAATATTATGTGACCATGGTTATTGCATGAACAGTGAATATGCTATTTTCTGTAGTTAGGATTGGATCCTGCTTCCATTATTTCAGTGGGAATTGTGCCATGATCTATGTTACTAAAATGTGGTAAGGCCATCAGTGAGTTGTGCTAGCTCAGTCCTGAATGAAATTTAAAAATGTATTTGCTCCCCTTGTATGTTGTTTATATAAGGTCTATCAACATTTATTTTATTAGTCTACTATATATATATTGCGCTTCCTACCAAGCAGTCAGACTCTGAATTCCACAACTGAGTTGTTAGTGGGTTAGATAAATATTTTGTATTTGTAAAGTTTAATATAACATATGTGGCTATTATGGGACATTGTTTGCTATATAGTTGCTTTAAATAGAACTGAAATATACATTAGAATTCCTACTCATGTCAAAAATCTTTATGAAATGTTTAAAATGCATTTGTTGCCCAGCACTAGAAAAACTTGCATGCTTGGCGCTCAACCCTGCTTGGGTAAAGACGACATCCTAGGAGGTTCTGAGTGCCTCAAAACTTCCATTAAGGTCAGTGGGAGTTCAGGATAATGAGCACCTCAATAGGGCTGGGCTCTTTGGTCAAACTCTGCCACTGAATATGTATGCACTACTCTCAATAACTTCAAAGGGAGACAGACTTGGGTCTGCAGGCAGACTCGGACTGTCAATATTGAAGCTTTAATCATGGCTTTCCTGTAAATGAAACTAACTTGAAACTCTTCTTTGTGGTATTTTGCTCCCAACTCTGTGCCATTGCTGTTCTTTTTAAAATTTCTTCTTTTGTGATAAAGGATTTTTTTTAAATGAAACAACTGGCAAGTATCATTACAGTACAAAAAATGGTAGCTGATTCCTGCTCTGTTTTGCAGCTGAATGACTTTTATTATTGCCAGAGAGAAAAACATCAGTCAATTTTATTCTATTGATGTAGTGTTTGGGAAGCAGCAGCACAGGTATATTCTTTATCGTGGAAGTATGAAGTGGTCATATTGGTTTGTTCCTTGAGCGATTACTTTTCAGGAGGAACTTAATTTGGAAAGAGTGTAACACTGAATACTATTGGTCTGGTTACCTCAATAGCTACATACTTCATATTAATTGTAAAGACTTGTTGAAACAAATAGGTGCTTGCAACTCTTGACCTCAGTAATAAAGACCCCAAAATACAATTCTAATGTTCCTCATTTATTGAATCACAACTTATTTAGTTAAAGGGCTGCTGTTGGTAACTTTGGTCCAAAATTTAATCAGTCTTAAAATCATGATGTAGAGAGTTTCTTCTGTGGTCCAGCTTTTTTTTTTTTTTTTATAACAAACCTCAACAGCTATCTAAAACTAGAAAATACTGTATGCTCTGCTGTTAGTGATCCAGAAGAGGGAGCACAAGTTAACTGTAACAATCCCCTTCTATCTGTAAACACTCGACCTACTGTTGTTAAAAATCAACGCCTATAATTACTGTAACTGAAAGAGATTGGAAAAAAGAAATTATTTTTGTTTTCTGTATACTTTTTGCATAGTTCCTGTCACAGATACTGCAATCCCATGCAGTATCTTTGGGGACCACTGTATTGAATTTATGAATGGTTTTGTCTTACTGTGTTCTACTCCATGGGGGAGGGTTATCACAGCTCCTCCAGGAACTAAAAACAGTGGAGGGTAATTACCCTGGGGATTGTAAGCAACTCCAGAGAACCACCGCCCCATGGGGTGTTTGGATATACTGATTAAAACTGGGCTTTCCAGAGAGATACTCAAAGAAAGAAATGGCTTTTGTATAAAAAGCTGAGTTTGAACTGACTCAGGGCCTTCACTTTGATTCAGCAAACAGAACCTTCTGTGTAAACGAGGCCACAACCCTCATGGAGGAGCTGGAAAGACTGGCTTACAATGGCCCCATAAAACTGATGGGTGACCTTTGGTAAGGTTTTAACATACATACAGGAACTATTATCGGTTTGTACACATTTTCTCTGTATGCTCTTTTGTTCTTACAATAAATGTACTCTGCTGAGAAAGAGCTGTGTAGTACCTGGTAAAAATGCTGTCACTGTCCTCCGAGAGAAGGCACAGCCCAGGTGCTGGCCTTTAGGCAGACTGACTTGCTGGGAATATCACAGTAGATGATGGGAGTTTGCAGCCCTAAACCCCCCAATAAGAAGGGGGCAGGACAAGGGTCCCTGCCCAGAAATAGCTGACAGCTGGAGACCTGATTGGGCATGCTTGGAGTGGACCACACAGAGGGGGAAACAGGTGAAGTTCCCTTGAAGTCAGACTGTTCCCACTGCAGAGTCTGTTAAACATTTCCCCGTTTGTGTCAGTCTGAGAGAACAAAACAGAAAAGTATGATTGTAAAATCACAAACACTTTTAGGGGACTTGGACATATGTATTTACCTGAAACTACTTTTAACAATTATTAGCTAGATTTCAAGTTGATGGGAGTGTCCTTTTAACCCAAAACCGTTTCTATAGAACTCTACTGACAGACTATTCTGGTGCACAAACATGCCAGGACATGAAATAGTTAAATTGTTTTTTCCACAAACAAAACAAAATCTGTATCTATCTGGGTGGAAAATACATTTTATTTTAAAGATCCTAAGATGTTACAATATTGAAAAATCACTTACATGACAATGTCCCTTTAAGCCTAGAATAGAATACACATTATGATTTGCTTAAATTATAAATTTTCTGCTTTACCTTAACAAACAAGGGACTGCTATGCTGTGCCAGCCAACCACTGTAATGCACATTTTCTTTAATGGTCCTTTATTTAATGAACAACAACTATAACCTTATAACAACATTCTATAAAACAGGGTGGTTTTCATCATGCTTGTAAAGTTCAAGCCCCACAGAATATACTAATGCAATTGTACAGTATCTTTCTCTATTGTGCATAGTTTTTACTTATGATACCTGTGATAATAGTTCAAAAAATGCTTTATTACAGGCTGTGTACATAGGTGAGTTATCTAGATAAAAGAAAAAAAACATGCCTTTTACTAAACAAGTAGCATTTACACACATTCATTAAGGATACTTATTCATAAAAATCATGAGTGGCTGCCTGTTCATGCAGAGTTCAAGTGGCAATCTCAGAGAGGCCTCTGAAGTCTCTAGTACAACCAAATGATGTATGTGTCCACCCCACAGTCAAGAGAATCAGAGCAAGTGTAATGCTCAGGGTCCTGGTGGCTTTGCTAGCCAGCAAAAGACGAGCTTTTATCCACCTTTTATATCGAGACACACGTACATAGATCCCAGGAAGTTTGGGTCGGCCACATCCAAATCCAAAACTGGTAATCCCTATCAGATAATATTTGCTGGTATCTAGGTGATAGCACACTAATGGTCCACCGCTATCTCCCTAACAAGAAAAAAATGACACCCCCCTGCATAGTTATTTCTAGTATCTTGAAATTCTAAGGCACAGACATTAGAATTAAGATTATAATTATCTACCTTTTACTAATGGTAAAAAGAAAACATTTATATCCAAAATATATGGATGAATCACGTTAAGTTTGCATCTGGTAACCTTAACCAGGCCAGACTATCATACCTACAGTAGGTTTCTTATAGTCTCTATTACTAAAGTTGTTAAACATTTATCTCCTCCACCAGTCCACATTCTAGCATTCAGATCACCCTAAAGCTACATATCTACAAATTAATAACTGGATTTAAATTCAGTTATCTATCTAAATTTTGCATATATGCAAATAAGTGCTCTGTTCCACTGTATAAACAGTAATGGCTCATAATCTGCCTATCAATTCCCAAATCACCTGTTCAAAGGAAGATTGTTGAAGAAGATAGATAGGATGGTAGACAGAATATTTGTGAATACACTGTCATCTTTATAGTAAATAAACTACTTGTCTTTCATATTAATGGGCCCAATATCTACACTCTAAGGCCCAAACCTTGAAGTCCTTTTGCAAGTTAACCTTTGACTTGAATACTGATTGTAAAACTAGCATGAATCAAATCAAGTTAAATGCACCTTCTTCATTGAAGCAGTAAATAAGACCATTCTTCAGCCTCTACCATATGTGGTACGTCTTATTACTTATATGTTCCTTTGATTGTTAAGTTTTACTATTAATGTCTTCCAGGTCCATTGTATCGGTTATGGCATGAATTGAATCGTAATCTGTGCTATGGAGAGGTACTGTCATTGTACAAAGTTGCATGCTGTGTATTCCATATGGAGAGCGGGTTACATAACGCTTGCAGTGTAAACAGACCAGTACAGTAAGTATCCTCTATAAGACTAAGACTTTTCAGCTTGGAAAAGAGACAACTAAGGGGGGATATGATAGAGATCTATAAAATCATGACTGGTGTGGAGAATGTAAATAAATAGGGCCCTACCAAATTCACAACTGTGAAAAACACATCATAGACTGTGAAATCTGGTCTTTTGTGTACTTTTACCCTATACTATACAGATTTCACAGAGGAGACCAGCATTGCTCAAACTGGTGGTCCCAAACCAAAAATGGGGCTTGGGGGGTCTCAAGGCTATTGTAGGGGGGTTGAGATATTGCCACCTTTACTTCTGCGTTGCCTTTAGAGCTGGGTGGCTGGAAAGTGGCGGCTGCTGTCCGAGAGCCCAGCTCTGAAGGCAGCGCCACAGCAGTAAAGGTAGCAGTACCGTATGATGCCATCCTTATTTCTGCACTGCTTCTTGCAGCTGGGGGAGGTTCCTGGAGGTGGGTCTGACCCGGCCCCGGGAGAGACCCCTCCAGGTGAAAAGGAAGTCCCGTCCAGGACCAGCAGCAGGAGCCTGACATATGATAGCAGCCCTCAGCCAGGGTGCCCCTAGGCCTGCCCCTCCCTGGCTCTGGGCCCAGCGCCCCGGTGCTCAGGAGTTAAAGGCGGCTTGGGCTGGCTGTGTGTGTGTTGGGGGAGAGGTGACCATGGAAACCCCCCCAACCACGGCACCCTGGGCCACCATAAGGCTAGCCCCCCCCAAAGTGAGGATTCCCCCCCATACCATGCCATCCTCACTTCTGCACTGGCAGTAGTGTTGCCTTCAGAGCCGAGCGCCCAGCCAGCAGCCGCAGATCTCTGGTGCCCAGCTCTGAAGACAGTGCCAGCACAGAAGTAAGGGTGGCAATACCACGACACCCCCATCCCCCCATGACCTCCTTTTAGGTTCTGACCCCCATGGTTACAACACCGTGAAATTTCACATTTAAGTATCTGAAACCATTAAATTTATGATTTTTAAAATCCTATGACCGTGAAATTGACCAAAATCAACCGTGAATTTGGTAGGGCCCTATAAATAAGGAAGTGTTATTTACTTTTTCTTATAACACAAGAACTAGGGGTCACCAAATGAAATGAATAGGCAGCTGGTTTAAAACAAACAAAAGGAAGTATTTCTTCACAAAACGCACACTCAACCTGTGAACCAGGGGGGTAGGCAACCTATGGCACGCGTGCGGAAGGCGGCACGCAGGCTGATTTTCAGTGGCACTCACACTGCCCAGGTCCTGGCCACCGGTCCAGGGGGCTCTGCATTTTAATTTAATTTTAAATGAAGCTTCTTAAACATTTTAAAAACCTTATTTACTTTACATTCAACAATAGTTTACTTATATATTGTAGGCTTATAGAAAGAGACCTTCTAAAAACGTTAAAATATATTACTGGCACGCAAAACCTTAAATTACAGTGAATAAATGAAGACTCGGCACACCACTTCTGAAAGGTTGCCGATCCCTGCTGTGAACTCTTTGCCAGCGGATGTTGTGAAGGCCAAGACTATAACAGGGTTCAAAAAAGAACTAGATAAGTTCATGGAGGATAAGTCCATCAATGGCTATTAGCCAGGATGGGCAGGGATGCAAAACCATGCTCTGAAGTGTCCCTAGCCTCTCTGCCAGAAGCTGGGAATGGGTGATGGGATGGATCACTTGATGATTACCTGTTCTGTTCATTCCCTCTGAAGCGCCTGGCATTGGCCACTGTTGGAAAACAGGATACTGGGCTAGATGGATCTCTGGTCTGACCCAGTATGGCCGTTCTTATTATATAATACTAATGAGGAGTCTTGGTGACTCCACAATTGAATGGAACTCCAACAGCTTATCATCAGACCACAAGATGTAATAATAGCCTTATTTGCTTATTTGTTGCTTTAGTGCATAGTTTTGAAGTTAGTAAATGGTGTAAGAGATTTCAATAGAATCTCTTAGTAAAGAGTAGGGGAAGTTAGAAATACTTAATTTTCTTGTAATAATGATATTTAATAGTGTTATGACTTGGTTTTAGCAGCACTAAGAAATGCTAGAGAGACAAGGTGGGGGAGGGAATATCTTTTATTGCATCAACTTCTGTTGGTGACACAGCTGAGCTTTTGAGCTACACAAAGTTCTTCATCTAAGAGCTCTGAGTAGCTCGAAAGCTTGTCTCTCTTACCAACAGAAGTTGTCCCAATAAAAGATATTACCTCACCCACCTTGTCTCACTAATATCCTGCGATCAACACGGCTACAACACTGCATACAATTATGAAATTTTATCAGTTTGATGCCAAAATCATAGTATTAAAACTTCGAAACATCAGGGCAATACCGTTGTGAAAATCACCACTACAGACATAGTACACACCAATTAATTATAAACAATGGTAAATTAGAAAGAAATTAATATATATAGGGTTCTGGTGACTTAACAGTGAATCTTAGATGTTCATTTTACTAGTAACTTTTGTCTCATTTCCTCCTTTCCCTATTGCCTTTGCTGTATTTCATCTTTATTCTCTAAGACACATTGACTAAACGGGGGCCCATATATGCATAGGGCCAGATTTTCAAAAGAGCTCAACACCTAGCAGCTTCTATTCTTCTCAATGAGGGGGGGTGATGAAGGTTGGTGGGGTGAAGATTCTCCATTGATCTCAATGGGAGATGCTGAGTACTTCTGAAAATCTCGCGACTAAACCACTTTGCTCACCAACATGTATAGGTATTTCTTGTCAAACACGAAGCATGGACTTATATTAAATGCACAGATTTAGTGTGGATGTACACTACATAGACACACTATATTTATATAATATAAATATATGCACAGTTTGGGCATATATATATATACACATATAAATAATACCTTTTGTATTTTATTGTAATCTTTGTGTCAAGCATTGCATAAATAAACAATTTGTCTTGTTTTTGTTCTTCCTTCTTTCTGTCAACTTGGTCTTTCCTTCTACTGTGTATCACTGTTTTTAAATTCAGATTATTTTTCTCTAAAATCATCATTCTTTCCTCTTGTTTCTCTGATACCTTTCTCTCTTCTGACTTGACCTTTGTTTTCTGTTTATTATTCCTACTGTATTAATGCCCAAATCCTGGTCCCAATGAAGCCAATGAGAGTTTTGACTTCAAATTTCCGTGGCAGCAGGCTAGGACAGTACATTTACCAATAGAAAATTCCAGTCTTACCTGACAGCTATCGATACCTCCAGATTCAAAGCCAGCACAAAACATATTATTATTAACCATTCCTTCATACCATTCAAAACCATTACAAATATCAGAAGGAATAATGTCTACTTGAGCTTCTTGTAATATAGGTGAGCCTTCACCTGTAATGGAACATAGAAGATGAAACATTTTGCTACTACAATTGTAGCATTTTTGTGCACATATTTTTCAGTTCAGTGGGACTACTCATGCTGAAAATTAAGAACATGTGACAATTTGGGGAATCTGTCTATGCAGAGTTTATGAATACTATTTGGCTTTAAGAAACTGCTTTATCATTGAATGTCTGTGTACCATTTGTATCAAGGCTGTGTCACATATCTCCCAGACCAGGCACAATGGAGGAGAGTCTTTAAATCGTGATGGTTGCCCATTCAAATGGGCCAATGGGCTGCCTGAAGCTAGGCAAACCAGTTTTCTCTAACTTCTCTGCAGGGGCCTGGGGTCTGAAGGAGTGGAATTTCCCCAAAAGCAGAACAAAAAGAAAAGGTTTTAGCGATGGGTTTTAGAAAAAACAGAGACTCAGAGTGAACTAACGTGAGGCAGGGAATGGTGTACAGGTGTTCTATTGTTTAGTCTGGATCTATATAGTTCTTGTCTTGTGCTATCTAATGTGTCTATTTGCTTCCACTATCATGTCCCTGAAGAGGTAAACTGTAAGCCAGAGTTTCCTACAAGGTGGAACTCTGGAAAAGAGTGTGCTATGCTACTGGGGAGTCTGGGGGAGATGCAGTTAGACCGGGCGTTCAGCTCAGAAGCGATGTGAGACAGAGGATCTATACCCTACGTGTGGGCCTGGATTCTGCTGAGTCTCAGGAAGTTTAAAAGCATATGGGCCTGGAATCCAAAGACAGTAGCCTGGTGTGTCCAGCAGGGGGATTTTTACCATGGCTGTGACAACATGCGTAAGTCATTGCAGGATCGGGGTGGAGGTGTTGTTTGACACATCTGCCTTTCTGATTCTGAAGAAACTTGTGAGATACTAGTACTTAGACCTGAACACTTTCAAAGTGCAGGGGCCATGTTGTGTCCCACAGGCTCATCTGACCCCAGATGCCCTTGTATCTTCCCTTAGGGAGACAGCTCCACTAGAAAAGTTACTACCTGTGCATACTGAGTCTGTGCTCCCTGGTGTTTAGACAGGAGAGGAGAGAATCCTGTGCAGACCGGCCAGCCCCACTACTCATTTGGAGACCTACATAGCCTCAATCTTTCTATATCTAATTTACTGTTGCTAAGTATAACGTTTTTTTCTAAGTGCTAATGTCTGGGAACTGAAACGAGAATCGAAAAGTCAAGTTCAGTTCTTCCTTCTATTACATTATCCCTGGACTAAAGACTACAGGCCAAACTATGCCCTCGGTTACACTTGTTCAGCCCCAGGTTGCCTTCAGTGGGGGTATAACTGAATTTGACTTGCAGAATGATTTCCTGGTGATGTACATGGAAATCTGAACACAGCTTGACTTTCAGACCTTTTTGTGAGTTTGAGCTGCTGATGGGTAGAAAAAATAACTTTTTACTTGTAAACTGAAAATTGTATATGAAAACACTGAACACAATTTCACAATGTTAGCAGAACTGCACTTTAAGCAATCAAGTTTTGTGCTAAACAGAGCTGATTCCTTTAAGAGGGCTCAGTTGCACTGAAAAATACTCTGTTCTCTTCATTTTGACTTTTTACCAAAACAAAACAAAAAAAAAATCATTCCTAATCCTAATAAACTGAGGCCCATAGGTAGAGTTTTAATGGTATTGTTTTTCCAGGTAATAACACTTTCATGCTTCATCAAATTCTTTCTTTCTCTGGATAAAATGAAGGCAGTAGGAATACATCATGGTTTTTGTAATTAAAAGGAGGTTGCATTTGGAATAAAGCCAAGGAGAGCATGAATGGCAGCAGTATCTAGGAAAGAGATGCCAGAAAGATGGTTTCAAAAAAGCTACCCTTGAAGCTCAAAACAAAACCACATCATTTAAATAATGCCTTCACAGCAAGTAAGCTTGCATTACTTGAAATCAGCTATTTCTTGGATCACCAGTTAGTTTAATAAAAAAAAAAACAAAACAAGCAAATATTTACCTTTCTCTGAAATACTTCCCCAACCACTTATGAAGCACTTTGTTCGGTTGTTGATGTTTAGATGAATGTGAACAAAGGGTAAGCAGATGGGCTGAATATAGTCATTGTAGCTTACAGATTTATATAGTTTAAATAATGCAATATCATTTTCAAACGTCTCTATCCGGTATTCTGAATGGACAATAATCTCTCTAACACTATGTTTCACAGTATGTCTCTCAGGTCTGGAAATATCATGAAGGCCAATCACAACCTTCCAGTAGTATGGATCCCTAAAAGAGAATCAACAATTCATTTCTTACATCTGTAATACAATAAATAAATTACTTGTTTGCATTCTTTAAAATCTGTTTTGTTTTGTTGGCAGCTTATGCACATTTGACAACATGCTTTAAAAATCCCATATTAAATATTTTGGGGACAAGTTCATGATAGAGATAGCCGAACTGAGAACACAGATTGCCTCATATTTGGCACGGCAAATCCAGATCAATATTTTCAATTCATATTCAGATTTGGCTGCCCAGCTATGCCTGTGGAGCTCAGCAGTGAGTTGTTTAGGAGAAAAGATACAAACATATATTTTTATAGAAATGTTGAATGCTTAGTGAAAGAAGCATGGAATCGTGACAGTAAAAGAAACAATAGTGGAAACAAGATCTTGAATAAAGAAGTCTAGAGGTGAGATTCTAAGAGGTGCAGCTCAGTACTCACAGCCAGGGAGAAGCAAAAGTGGCACTAAGCTATCTTTGCACCTTCTAGATTCTGGGCTGCTCTGGGGCTGGAGAGATATGCATTGTAACTTAAGATAGCTCTGGGGGCCTGTCTAAGGATGTGTCAGTAGATTAATAAGCCTCTTTTGAGGCGTTTATTACTGTACTGTAAAATGAAAGTTTAGCCTCTGATAGTCTTTTAGTATTTTCTAAATAAAGGTTTTACAACCTAGTAGAATAAAAGAGATGAAGTAGTGCTTACTTTAGAAAAACTGAAAAATCCCCTGCAAGGTTTGCTACCCAAATATTGCAACATTTTGCTAGTGCAGTATAAGGTTACTGAACAGTAAAGCTGATTGGGAAAAAAATATTCCTGTAAAAAATTAAAACTTTTAGTAACAAACCTGAAAAATCTTGTCAGAAAACCTCAGTCCACTCCTAAGCCTGCCCTCTGTGTTGGCACTGTTGATGTGGAGCCTCCAGCCCCAGCCAGGCTGGGGATGCAGAGACCTCCAAACACAATTACTCTAGCTACTGACCCTCTGGTAGAGGGCAACTGAGGGCCTTAAGTTGCGCAGAATGTCTTAGGTGGTTCCTCTGAGCCAGAGTGGATGCCAACACTAGGGAATATTGGGACACAGGAGTCAGGTGTTCAGTGCTCAGTAATTGTTCTACAATCTTAGAACCCAATCCATGCAAGTCTGGCAAAACTCCCACTGATTTCCATAGTGTAGTATCTGGTCCTCCATTTTGCTCAAGGATAATGCTGATATGATTTAAAATGATGCTATGGGAGTTACAGGTGATGCATTTCTAGTCAATTATACCTTTCTCGCACTTAAGTTAACGGAGTATTAGAGTATGAGAATTTAATACATACATTTGTCGTCTAACACAATGCGCTGCTGTCAGCACTGAATACTCATTAACTAAAGATCCACCGCACAGATGTTTAAATCCTACACCATATTGGTAAACTTGGAGACTAACTTGCCACGGCCATGCTCCGAGCTGTGCATCATGTCCACCTACGATCCGAGGTCCTGATATCATATCCACCAGTACCCGCTCTCCACAGGCTATAAAACAAAACACAATCAGTTAAATTGTTCAGATTGCAATATGAAGATTTTGTGCATTTCTAGTGTTTTCTGCATGGGTTTTACAAAAGGTTTACCAATGTTATTACAACTATTTTTTGCATTCCCATTTAGAGCCCTGATTCAGCAAAGTGCTTGTGTGTGCGCTTAAGTCCATCACTTCATCTATGTTTAAGTGCTTTGCTGAATAGGGATCACTTTAAGCAAGTGGTTGAAGATAATTATGTGCTCAAGTGCGTTGCTGAATCAGGGACTAACTGCCTTTAAGATATGTACAGAAAGTTGCACAAAAGTATGTATTGTAGTGGTGTCTTATATGATATTGTGCGCTTATAATGTGACTGTACCAACAATTAATTAAAAAGTATTAATAAAAATAGTGCAAACTCTTCTTTAAAGCTATGCAAGAAATTTGAAATTATTTCAAAGTGAAAAGTTTGTGACTTTTAACATTATACTTTGTATTGATGTCCAAGGTCTTCAAAGAACTTTACAAAGGGTGGATAGTATTATCTGAGGTGGGGTAAACAACATAATACAGCAGGTCAGCAGCAAAACTGGCAACAGAATCCACCTTATCTGCATTTCCAGTTCCCTACTCTAAACACGACATTCCTGCCTTCTGTACTCACAGTATTTACTCTGGTGATGAAGCATTTGATCATGTATTCGGAGTTAGCTTCAAGCTTGGCCTACGGAGTCAGCTACCCAGGATACCTATCTATCTTAGGTATTTATGTGGTCCCCATGACCGTTGTATCTGAGCGCCGTAATGAATTTAGCATCACAACACCCATGAGATAGGGAAGCACTATTATCCCCATTTTACAGCTAGTCTTTGTGTCTCAGCTCCCTAAGTGACTTGTGGATCACACATGAAGCTTGTGACACAGCAGGGAATTTAACCTAGGACTTGAATGGCCCAGGCTAGCACCCTAACCACTAAACCACCCTTCTTTTCCATACAGATACCAAATGTAAAAAGCATAGGTCCTGGAACCAGGGGGTTAGGGATGCGGCAACACCCCCTGGCTTGAAGTGTTTGTTATCATATACATGGTTTACAGTTTAGTTCAATGGCTCTCAGCACCCTACTATACAAATTGTTCCAACACCACTGAATGTAAGGGGCTATCAGCATATGTTGGGATTCCCTCCGAGACCTTTTCAACTCAGCTTATTGAGAATACTTTGTCTGGTTCTGGGAGAACACTTCATCCAGATCACTGGGATCCAAAACACACAGTTTGACTCTGGATTTCATCATTCAGGTTCCTTTATTTGGCATGCAGCAAAGCTTGGCTGAGTTGATCAGCAACTTAACCTCCCAATTATGCCTCTGATCACGTAGGCACTGCTTGAGGGGACTTGACGAGTGCTGAAGTGCTTTTCCGAATCATGTGAAATACTTTCGACATACCATCTCCTACTTGAACCATGTATCAGAGGGGTAGCCGTGTTAGTCTGAATCTGTAAAAAGCAACAGAGGGTCCTGTGGCACCTTTAAGACTAACAGATGTATTGGGAGCATAAGCTTTCGTGGGTAAGAACCTCACTTCTTCAGGTGCAAGACTTGAGGTTCTTACCCACGAAAGCTTATGCTCCCATACTTCTGTTAGTCTTAAAGGTGCCACGGGACCCTCTGTTGCTTTTTACTTGAACCATGGTACTCTCGTGACCCAGCCGCATACTTGGGCCGAGGGGCGAATACTTTATGGCCCGATGCCTTTGCACCCGTATTGCTCTGGCACCAGAGCGACGTGACGCAGCACTAGGGAGGTGGGTGCAGCAAGAAACCCACCAGCCCTGGACCGCACGGGGCCAAGCGTGGGCACGAGCTGTGAGTCCGTGACAGGGAGCGGGAGCCTAGGCCCTTCCAGCACGTGCCCTGCCCTTGCTCTGTGATTCATGGGTTGTGTCAAGTGTGCACTGGAGATACAGGGGACGGTTGTCGCACAGACTCATGGGCCATGACATTCTCGGGGGGGGGGGGCGAAAGTCCTCTCTGCGCAAGCGCCGTCGTGTCGCACCAAAGAGCAATGGGAAATTTGGTTCCAACGGCGGGCAGCGCGGGCGCGCGCCGCGCGGGTCCCGGGGCCTGAGGCACCGCCCGCCCACGCCGCTGCGACGCCACCCGGCCTCCCGCAACTCCCAGCGGCGGAGCCTTACTGCTCGTGGAGCTCCACGGGGCCAGGCTCCCGGGGCCGCCGCCCGCTCGCAGCAGCACCACCACCAGGGCGGCGGCCCAGAGACTCGGCCACATCGTCCTGGGAGCGAACAAAATGGCGGCCGGTTCTCGCCCAACGGTTATTCCCCGGGCGCCGGCGCGCGGCTGCTGGCCACGTGACCAGGGAAAGGCGCCATGCCCTGGTCGCGTGCTGCGGCGGTGGCGGCCATGTGGCCGGGGGGGGCGCGCGGGGCGGGGCGGGGCGGGGGGAGGAGCAGCCCTGAGGAGATGTCAGGCCCGGTCTGAGAAAGGGGGAGGGGCAGGCTCATCTCTGGGGGGGAGGAGGGGACTGAGTGTGGGGCCGGGGGGGGAGACGGTGTGAGGCAGGCAGGGTGGGCTTGGAGGAGAGGAGTGGACAATAGGATCGGGCCTGGGGCACAGTTTGGGGAAGGAGGGGTTGAGTCTGTAGGGGGAGAACAGGGGGAGACGATATGGGGGGGGGCTGTCTAGGGGGACAAAAGGAGGAGGTGCAGGGTTTGGTGGAAAGGGGAACAGGTGCAACAGTGGTGATGGCTTGGGAGAAAGCAGGTCTCTGGGGAAGGGTGGTGTGAGGGAATGGGGGTTGCCTTAGCAATTGGATGCAACAGTTAATTGATTTCTGTGGATTGGGGGCGGGGGCAGGAGAGGAAGAGACAGGTGTAATTCTCCAGTAACAAAACCAAACCACACACTTTTTAAGTGTGAAAATTCCATGTTTTAATTTAATTTCTCCGAGCAATTGTTTCCATCAACTACTACTCTAGTGACTTTTTTCCCCTTTGAGAAACCATATGGTTCTATCATAGAATAACATTGCTACGGGACCACAACTTTTTTGAACAAAACACACCAACATTTTTCTTTGCAAAGATATACCTACTGCTGAGAGGAATAAGGATTTCAGTCATTCGTGCATCACAAGAACTGGGCAGAGTAGCTACAGGTTAGTGTTTATCAGTAATGTTCTCAGTAATTGTAGGAGAGCAAAAAGTCTTAACAGAGATCAAGATTGTGAGACACATGCTGCCAGAGCCCTGCACCATTTGTAGGGGTTTCAGTGATTATTCTCCCATACAAATACTAAGCAAGGCTTCCTGTTTTGCCTATAAGATCTGCTGCAATCATAATACAAAGGTACTGTTGCTGCAGATGGGGGTGAAATCTTGGCCCCACTGAAGTCAGTGGAAAAAACACCATTGACTTTGTTAGGGCTAGGATTTCACCCAAGGAGAAATTGTATCCTTTAGACCTCAGTTTTGTCAGCTTTGATTCACAGTATAATTTCTGACTCATTTGACTGGTTGGGTAATGAACAATATAAAAATATCACACAAAGTGGTAGACTTTGACACAGGCTTAAAAAATCTTCCAACATTCCAGTGCAGTAGCAAAGTTATAGTTAAATTGATTATACTACCACCTCAGCTATCTGAATGGCATGAGATGTATTAAAATAGCTTGATAACTGTTACGAAAAGAGCAGGGAATGGTTAATATTAGAGAACGTTGCATCCTCTAGCCAATAAATTTTTGCAGCTGAGTGGAGGTTATATGTTGTTAGGGTCAAGTACCTACCTACTATCCTATGGTGAGTAAAAGCAAACTACTAGTGCAAAACCAAGGCAGGAGAGAAAGGAGCAGGGCTAGCAAGATAGAGGGTGGAAATAAAGATGTAACTTTATAGAAAGCAATTCCCACCACAAGCTTTATTTTCACTCTTGTTTCACAATTGCCATTGGTGGTGAAAATAAACTAATGATTATCTGAAGGAACTTGCCAAGATAAAACGGCATACTTAGGAAGATATTTCCCTGAATAGTTAGAGAATAAGTATTCTTGGCCAGATGTTTATGTGATATCTCCCACTATTGTGTTACCAGGGCAGTTCCACTGGTGATAACTGCTGTGGAAGCAGTAGTTTTCACCAGTATTTTTGCCTCTGTATTAGACTTGCTTTCAAAAGGTTTGGATGAGACAGATTGTGGTAAAAATGCTAGTGCCCTATCTACACTAATGTACCTCTTTATTGCTGTAAGAGGGGCAGTGCAACAGTGAGATAGACCTCTCAAAAAAGGCTAGTATAGACACAGCCTCTCCAAGACAATGTTTTCCGCAACGTCCTTGTTGATAATGAAACTTACAAAGGCAGCTGACTGAACAGCTATGGCTCTTAACAAGCATCTTAATTGTTAATTAGCCAGTTATTGGGGTAACCGGTTTTATGAATGAATGTTGTTTCATTCATAACACTTTACTTATGAAGTTACATTAATAAAGTAAACAACTAAAAACAATTTCATTCATGAGTCCTACATTGTTCCCCTTTTGACCCTTCAATCCAGGGGTATTGAATGGGTCACACTTTATGTAATTGTTTTAAGGCAGAACCAACATAACAGTTAGGATTACTAATAGGACAATGATGGGATGAAAAATTATATTTAGAACTGCTGACCAGGTGGGCTGCTCCTACAACACTTTGCCCCTTTATTTATGATTATTACAGCAGTTGTTGTTATTGTAGGGCACAGGTGATCTGTTGCAAACAAACCAAACAATCATAAAACCATTACAATAATTGGGTACATTGACAAACAAGATGAGGTCCAGGTTTGATGCTGCAATAGCCATCAAACAATAAAAGTCACTGAGGTCAGGACCTTCTTAAGCACACACAACAAATAAGATTTTGTAGGAGTACCACAGTTGTCATGCAAGGTTAAGCTGATTTGGACTTAAACTAACATTTAGTTGCTAAAATGTTGCAGAATTTTCTATTTTTAACAGTTGTTCTCAAGAGGTTTCTGGGGACCTGAAAGATGGGGCCCTACAATCATGGGCCAAGGTTTTACAGGTTATGGGGGCCGAAGAACTACCCTTTAGGGCTTGGGGAAGTAGAACCAGAGTGCATAGAGGAAAGTGTGGAATTAACAATATAAGCAAATGTAACTAACAATGCAAATGTATTAATAACAAAAATTAACAACAAAATGACTATTAGAGAACCTAACAAAAAATAAACCTGATGCACTGGGGACCAAAATCCTTTGGACACAAGTGGTGATTGATAAGTTGGATGGACATGGGGGAAGTAGAGAGAGGAAAAGACATTTGCCCTGTCTAGTGTAGTATCCCCTCTTTTTCTGGACCCAATGCTAGCACAGGACACCACTAGAGACAGACACAGAACATGCAACACAGAACACTGAACACAGACTTTGTCATGACACTATAACCATGGGATTTTATAACTCTTCAGCTGGTACCAGCTCTCCTGATGTTCTGGTTCAGAGCCTGAAAGATAGAAGCTTGGAACAAATTAGCACAGTGCTTTCACCATAGCAGAACCTGCTTAGTCTCTGCCACAGTGTGTTTGGTACTTGGGGCTGCACAAATGCTAATTAAGTGGTGCATTTCTTGTGAGTGTAAATCCTCCCTTTCTCTCAGTAAAAGGGCGTTAACACTCCATCTAGAAAAAAATTTCTGTTTTAAGATCTCCAGCCATTTTGCCATGGCCTGGAGATCTGAGGCAGAAGCAGGCACTGTTGTTAACTGTTTCAATGGCATTTTGGCCCTGGGAGGAGGAATTTACCCAAATATCCCCCTTCCCAATCTCCAGAGGGGTCCCAAAGGTCTTCCCCCTTCTGGGGTCTCAAATGTTTCTTCTCCTGATGTTACTGCTGCTGTAAGATTTGAGAGTGCTGTTTTAACTCTCTGTACCCAACCTGTTTTCCAGTTTCTCTATCTGTTGCTTGCCTGGGCCCGATCCTGCTTTTTCCAATAAACAGTTCCTTTCCATGGGCACAAGCCTTGTTCCACTACCAATTTAGCAAGGAGGGTGGGCTTTCCAACTAGCCCCCACCCTTCCTGGTCCCGTTCCTTAAACATTTTCTTCAAAATTGTGAAATTACCACAAAATTACTTACAAAAAAACAAAACAAAACAAACAAACCACACTACACTGCCCAAACTCCTATATCCTTCAGAGTTTGGTTTAACAGAACAAGATCTGTATCTTATGTTTTTAACCCACTCTGGGCCAGAGGGGGAGACGCTAAGCCTCCCTCTGTATTACTCGGTCTGCTACCACCGAGGGTTCATACACCAATTATACAAATCCTTCCCCGGATCAGAGTGAGAAAGACTAAGTTCTCCTCTTTAGCTCAGTCTTGCTACGGCTGAGGGTGTATGTACCTCTATAACACAATTTAAACCTAAACTCCTATATCCTTC